CCCGAACGAGCAATTTTTCAATTTTGACAAACTTTGGAAGACCATAACTTTGTGCTCCGCAATCCGAATGACATGATTTTTTTTTTATTTCGCATAACTTTTGAAGGACTACAACTTTCATCATAACCATAATTTTGGAATGTATGTGGATTTTTGAAAAGTAAAGGCAAAGTTATTCCCAAAATCCCGTATACCCAAAAATATTTCTTGTTTTGAAAATTCTTTCCTAGTAAAAGTTTTAGTTCTTAAAAATTTATGCTCAATAAAAAAAAACTTTATAACTTTCGGATTGAGGAGCACAAAGTTATGGCCTTTCAAAGTTTGGAAAAATAAAAAAATTGCTCGTTCGGGGTAACCGACGATATTTTTTTGGCATGAAGGCTTGTTGTAGATTGAAAGATCTTGAAAAGCTATGCGGAAAAAAAATTCAATACGATCGGATAACCGAGCGCAGAGTTACGTTAATTTGAAGTTTCAGCCTTAGTTCAGGCCTTCACCGCGGCCGTCAACCGTGGTGATGCATTCGCCGCTTTAGTCTGCAGCGGTATGGTAACGACTTAAAAACGCAAAAAATACCATATGGTATGCAGTTGGTAACGGAAGGCATGAATTTTTTTTTCTAAAAAATTGAAAATGTATCTCATTTTGTAGAGCACAACGAACTCGTTCGATCTGCTCAAAAAAAATCTTAATTAAACGAAAAAGATATGAGTCGATTAAGAAAACAAGAAAAAAATGCTTTTAATTCTCCACCCTTATATCTGAATTTTTTAAACCCACTTAAAATGAAGGGTCTATATTTGATTACTGATGCGGAGCCTCTAATTGGTGAAACTCATTGCCATAGTTCTCTAAACTCAAACCATAAAAATCAATTGAATAAAAAAACAATAACTGACAATTTCTATTCGTCGAAATACATCTAGTAGGTTCATTATATCTCTAATTTGGAGTTTGAAGTCGCCATTAATATCGTTACTTTATTTAGTTTTGTTAATTATAGTAGGTTTTAGTTTTCCTAATTTTGTTCGACCGTTATCGATTGTGAGTGTACTGCAGTTACAAAATGTGAATAATATCGTTGGAGGTGTATTTTCGATATGATCGACTTTGCTTCAAGGGCTAAATTTAATCTCTCGTGATAGAGATTTCTAGCACTTTTTGGTTGGTCATTTTGTAGGTGCTCATATGATATGAAAGTAATTGAAGAAAGTGAAATGAGTTTCATCGATCTATCAGGTGATAGTTCGATTTTATTAGATTTTACAAATTTATGAGAGTAATTAAACATGCTTTGTCAAAGATTGCTAATGTATTTTTCTTTTCTTTGTTGTGGCTTTTTGTGGCAACTCAATACTAGTCATCCTGCATACTCCGTCGAAGGAAACTACACTCGTTGGCTGGACTATCTTGGAGATGTATGGTTTTTTGTTTTATTTTTTCTCGTCAGTGTCGTGTCTTTGCTCCTCTGAGTTTCTTCAGAGCTGCCCAAGTAGTGGCCTAAAAGGCTCTTTCATCGTAGTCTGGTTGCATGCAGACTAACGCTCAGACTTTGAGTCAATTTTGTAATTTGGGCTTGCCTTGGAAAAATAATAATCAACTAATCATGTACCTAAGACTGCAAATGAGCCGAGTTGTTCATGAGCGAATCGACGTTCGACTCTTGAAAACCTAGTTAGAACCTCAACTCGTCTGCTAATGAACCTAGTTTGAGCTATACCGTGTTCAGCTCGCACGCCATCTCGACTTAGTGGCTTGTTGAACTCAACTCATGAGTTGGCTTGTTTTAACCTCATGAGATGTTTTAAAATTGAGACTAACGAGTGAACTTGACAACCGACTTATGATGGATTCATCTATATCCTTTGAGTTGGTTTTTGTTGATAATTCATAAATTTGTTAAATTATTTATCTCACCTCATATGATGTTTAAAACTTTGAGTATGTGAGTATATATGTCTCGTTTATAGTTTAAAAGATAAATTATGTGCCATTAGTCGCTTTGATACTAATTATTATGAAATAACATTATATAACTAGTTAAAATTTATGAGCTAATAATATGATATCAAGCTAGTATATAGACACGATATCAATTAATGATGAAAGATTGACTATCATACATGAAATACAAATTTTAGGGTATTTAATTTATAAATACATTTTAAAATAAATGGGTTGAGCTCAAGGCGAACTCATGATCTTATTGATGATACGCGCTCGAGACAAGCACGATTCAATGTTTTAGGAAACAAGCTAAACTCGAATTCGACTCGACTCATTAATTAACAAGACAAACTCAACTCGTTTATTAACGAGTCGAGTTCAAACTAAGACAAATCTCAACTCAGCTTGGCTCATTTTTAGACTTACGTGTACCACAAGTTAACTCTATAACATACGATTGGATTATTAATAAATATAGAGTGGGGAGCCCCTAATGTTTAGATGAATTGTGTCGAATGGCCTCCCAACCCACCCTATTGGTCGCTCCTGTTCAAGACACAACCCTTTGATGAAAGCTTACATTGAGCAGTGCTTCGTATACTCCTGAAATGTCCTCTCCTTCCTTGTTTGATGCAACTGTCAGGAACTTGATAGGAAAGAACAAAATTGAAGTCTTTTGACTAGTAACTCTCCTTCGAGTGCTATTTGCCTCCACTACTAACTTGGGTAATTAGCATAAAAGGTCACAAACCTATTCACTTTGTACAAAACAGTCACAAACCTTTAATTTTATACGTTCTAGTAACATACATTTGAGAAAATAACGAAATTAGAATAACTTTTATTACAACATTGAACCTTTTAATTAGTGAATATCTAAAGAAAAGATTGGGTTTCCATTACTTCTAACTATACAAAAGGTCTCAATCTCATACCTTGGGGTGTCTCATAGATCATGCCTCTTGGCAATCACTTGGCAACAGGATCTGCCAAATTGTTGCATGATCTTACATACTAGTATAAATTATTTCATTAGTAATCAAATATCTAATGTAATCATGTCTTATGCTAATGTGTCTAAACTTACCATTTTAAATCTTGTTATAAGCTCTAGACAAAACAGCCTCATTATCGCAAAAGATAGAAATGGCTAGCATCGGTTGTGAACATAACTCTATATCTAACTACATGTTTCTTAACCATTCTGCCTCTATTGCAGCCGCCGCAAGGACTAGGAATTTAACTTCCATGGTGGAGTGAGTAATACACGCTTGTTTATTCGAAACCCAAGAAATAAGCCACCACCTAGTGTAAAGATCCAACCCATTATAGATTTATTATCATTAGTGCTACTTATCCAACTAGCATCAAAAAATGCTTTTAACACGACACGGAAGTTGCTATAGAAGAGTCCTAAATCTTTGTTCTTTTTAGATAACCAGAATCTCTTCCTTTAACTCTCCAATTATGAGAACTAGGATTACTAGTGAATCTAGAAATTTTTCATATAGCAAATGCTACAACCCATTTCATACATCAAACTTCTTATAGCACTAGAATACTCAACTTGTGTCACTGCCCTTCCATCATTCGCACAAAGCTTAAAAGAAGCTCATAAGGGGTGTTAGCTTCTTTTATATCCAAATGCTCAAACTTCTTGAGCATCTTCTAGATATAATGTGACAAACAACATCCACATAAAGGCATATAATGACAACATACTCTTTCGTGCAATTTAAGTAAATGCACTTGTCAGCAAGAGTTATGAGAAAATCCATGAGCCAAGACAATGAAATCAAATCTCTCGTGTCATTTCTTAGGTGCTTGCTTTAGTCCATACGAAGACTTAAGCAAGTTACACAATGTTCCTTCATTTTCAGGCAACACGAACCCTTCTGGATGTCATCTTAACCAAAGCAGTTAAAATCGGGATTTTACATAAAATCGAAAACTGGGGTAAAATCGGAATCGTAAAATCGAATCGTATAATCGTAGGATTTTGAGTACCATATAGAAATTAACATATAATAATATTAATAAGGTAAATAATTAATAACACAAAGCCTTTTAACATTTAAAGTGATAATTTTCAAGATTAATGTTCCAAAATCATCATTTTAATTGTTATTTAATGCGTAACTCAAAATAATTTATGAGGAAGGGATAGAGCTCATGGGGTTTGGATCTTGTTTTTCATGTTGTGTCTAGGTAGTTTAACTCAAAGTAGTATTCCGACATCGTCTACTAAGCATGATTTAAAACTAAGAATAACTGAAATCCAATAAAATAATTAACATCATTGGTATGGTACAAATATATTCATTAATCAACTAATTTGTTAATAATGATGTTAATTCTTATGCACTTACAATATTCGGACAATTGTTTTACCGATGAGTTAAACAAGGAGAAGGGAAAGGGGTTGACCGAACCATAATTACTTTTCTTCTTCTTTTCAAATGTTCTTTTAATAGAAAAAATATATGAGAAGATCCCCGTCATTGCCCTTTCCACCGAAACAGTTCTGCTTCTTTTTGAATTGACTCAAGCTCCCTATTTTGTTCACATAGGATCAAAATCCCGATTTTGGTACGATTTTACGATTTTAATCCCGATTTTAAAAGATTTTAAGGTCCACCGATTTTATAGTAAAATCAGGATCGGAATCCCTAAGTAAAATCCTAAAATCCTACGATTTTACGATCAAAATCCCGATTTTGACTGCATTGATCTTAACATCCATTTGGTATACAAACATATTCTAAATAGAAACCAACGTTAAAAGCACTCTTATGGAAGTGATCCTTGCAACTGGTGCTTATATGTCAAAGTAATCTACTCCTATCTTTAGCCTAAACTCTTTTGAAACAAATCTAGCTTTGAAAGTATATATTAATCCATCAGTGTTATACTTAATCTGAAATACCCATTTATTTCCTATAGCTTTAGATCCCTGAGATAGATCCATAAGAATCCAAGTCTTGTTCGTCAACAACGAATCCATCTCATCATTTGCGCCCTCATTCTAGGAAAAAAATTATAGAAGCCATGGCTTCTTGATAAGATCTCGGATAATACTTAACCGAATCATACCATCAATCATTACTGGTCATGACTCCATCCATGTGCAATTCCTGGATCGTATCCACATGTAAGTCAAAAGTCATTGTCACAATTTCACTAATCTCAATATTCTCAATCACATTTGCACTTGCAACCCCCTCATTCTGATTCCTTTTGGGATAAGGACAGAAGCGAACAATATGTCACATTCTTAACTTACGTAGGGTTGACTTTGTCATTTTATTCTTCTAGTTGTTGGAATTGTTCATGCCTTTTCTCTTCTTGCCCTTCTTGTTCTCCAGAACATTCATTTTGAAACTTGATGGTGCTTCCGAATTCTATCATTGTCACGGATTCGAGTTTTTTCTTCAATACTCAAAACTCTTCAGACGTATGAAGCAATTTGTTCTTATAGTTGTTCCATGATGGAGGGAACTTTACAATAATTGCCCCCACCATAAATGGTTAAGGAAGAGTTATCTTCAACGCAGTGAACTTAGAGGCCAAGATAAGAAATTCATGAGCTTGATCCAGAATTGGACGCTTATCATTTATAGCTAATTCGAAGAAATGGAAAGTGACAAACTTATATGCGCCTTGTTTTTCATATTTGTATTGATTCTCCAGGGATGTCCATATTTCTGTTGGGATCAACAATAGGGAGTACAAATCATAGAGACGACCAGATAGTGAATTGAGGATGTATCCTCTGCACAACAGGCTACCATCATTCCTTTTCTTGCGTTTTGCCGTCAATTCTTCAGAATCAGTGTCTTGTGGTTCAGGATGCGGCTCCAAATCGGAATCTAGTATATACATGATCTTCAAATCAGTAAAAAAAAAATCATCTTCATCTTGCCTAGAGAATCATCTCCATAATTTCCCAGTGGGCGGGTCCTCATGACACGTGAAGGCTCTACGCAAGATCTAAGTACATGTTTACTGGTTGAGGATGGCGTAGGATGTCCAACACTATGTAGCGGCATATGACACATTTTATAGGGTCAAGTCGTCGTCATTGAGACCATCGATACTTTCGCAACCATTGCCTGTGCTAGAGCGGGTGTGAGAGAATATTAGCATGGATCTCATCAAGTACGCACATTTGCTAGCCTAGGTGCATCCATATACAGTGAAGATGGTGGCTGAGTAGTTTGTGTGGGGATCATTTAGCACCACACCTTCCCTCAAACAATTGTAAGTGACCGAGACTCTCTTTTCTTGGTGCGAATCGAGTTTGTTATCGTTCTGTATCAGTGCCTGAATCCTGATAGCTGCAAATGGCGTAGAAGCCAAGTAATTTATAAATTATACAACTCATTTTCATGTATCATTGTTATCCGAGGAGTGGTCTACGATGCCCTTTTTCTCTTCTGCAAAATGGACGATTAAAAGGCACTGCTAGCTCTTATTCAGACATAGGGCATTGAGTGCCCACCCCAATCAAATCATACAGAACCCCATGCGAATAGCCGGATCCAAAATATTACATTATCGGAATCGAAATGGTAAAGAATAACCTCAGTATACAAAATGCTCTGCAAGTTTCCTTCCTGTAGCCTGTAGGCATGAGGAAGTGCACCTCTCATGATTACTGAAGAAGATCATGACTGCTTTGGAAGTGCTTTCGCGTGTATTTTCAACACGGAAGGGGGTTATTAACCACTGATGGCTTTGCTGGAGCTATATATAATATCCATTCATTCATTCCTATATAAGTGAAAACTTGGAAGTAAAACCGAGAAAACTGAGGTGATTGTCAGCTAAAGCTAGCTTCACAGCAGGACAAGATTATTTTTGGGCCATATGGGTGCCTACTGGGGAGTCGCTGGATCCCCTCATGAACTAAGATTGCCATGCTGGTGCAAGATGTGATCAACGAGCTTCTCCGGCATTTCCTTTTTAGCCTATATGTGTTGTGAAACTTCTCAGTCGTGAATTATAAAAAGAAGAAACACAGCACATGTGAATGTCGCAATGAATTGGAAAGGATGTGCAAAATGAAAACCTGGAAGTGCCTCATGTGCAATATAGGCTCACAACCAACATCTGCTATCTCTTTCCCACTGAGCGTCCGAGTTTTAAACCTTTCGGCTTCGTAAGGGGCAATGATGTTATCCTCATCTGGCAATTGATGGCATACTTTAAGGAGGGAGTTCAGAGAATTCATCTGCTTACAGAAAAAGCAAGACAACCGTTACTGATTGCAAGGGGGGAAAAAATGAAAAACAAGAAATGATGTAAAAGAAATGTACTGACCTTCATATACGGACAGGAAGCACATCCCCCATGGATAGAGCAACCCTCACCACTAGCAACACCAGGTATAACAGGCAAAATGATATCCCCTAGCTGTACCGATTCTACTCCTTGGGGTGACCTGGTTGATGTTTGTGATATTGAGTCAGCCGAGACTGGGAAGACAATCTCGACTTTGACCTTTGCTTTTTCGGAAGATGTTGTGGAGGAGCCTAGTAACTTCCTGACTGCAGCCACAATAGCAGTGACCATTCCCGACTCTGTGCCTAAAACAAATTGGAGGTGATCGCTAACATTTCTGTCTAGTGACTCTTGGACTCTTTGCTTTATGAAGTCTAGTATATTCTGTGTGGAACCCACTACCCCCATGCCTCTTCTCTTTGCTTCCATTGCTAAGGAAAACATTTCTCCAGGAACCTCAAGATGAGCAGTCAAGAAAGCATCACCATACATGTCATTGATCTTCTGCACAACTTCATGTCCAAATAGATGATGGACAATGCATGATCCATCCTGGAAGAATATTCCACTAAATCAGACTTTTTTTTCTCAGACCATGCCCATAAGCCACCAAAACAGGACACTGACCTGAAAGTAATGCAGACGAGGAAGCAATGATCTAATAGTGTCAGCATTATGTGCTGGATGCATCTCAGCGATTTCTTCATCAGTCATAAACGTCATTTGTTGAAATAGTTTTGCTATGTTAGCCCCCATGTAAGTGTCAGGGCCATACCATATCTTCAAATCTGGGATTTCGGCAAAAGCCTGTCCATAAAAGGGATCAGGGAAAAGAAGAATGAGTACATTACATGACTTCCTAACATCCACCAACTAGATATGCAAGAGCTATAGTACTTGGTATGCTTACTTGCAGAACAGTTTGAACAACATTGGAAGAAGTACAGGTTATTGTAGGCACAAGCTCGTGCGAGTAAGCTTTCGTCTCAAGCGAAGTATTTATATAGATAACGTGCAAAGAAGGAGGAGACACTGAAGCCTCCTTCAGATAATTCATGTAAGCAGGGGTAGATGCAGCATCTGCCAATGAACATCCAATACGATCTTCAGACATTCTGTATACACCGACCTGCATTGCAACAATTCGCATAAGCAAAACAAACATCACGAGATGAGCAATAACTTCGAGTGACCTACACGACACTAGCAAACAGTATAACGCGCACAAGCTACATAAGTGATATATACCTCTGCGAACCCGGCCTGATCAAGGATAGCCCGGACATTTTCAGACATGAAATCCACACCAAGAACGGTTATGAATTTGCATCCAGCTTCAGCCATCTTCACGGCACTATCTGCCATGACCAGGGAGTCGGAGATATGGATGTGAGGCCAATGCTTTTGTGCGGCAGTTAGGACACCCTGAACTTCAGGGTCCATGTAGAAATGAGCAACCACGCCGATTTCCTTCTCCTTTAGCACATTAACAAGTTCCTCAACCTTACTCTCATCTGGGAACAGAAATCTTGCCTGCAATAAAACTAGAATTCTGAAACTCAGAATGAATAAACTACACACAAAAAGAGTTTTATTGCTATGAACAAAGAGCAACGAGATGAGCCCCCAACCTGAGCTTCAGCATAGCTGCCTTTCGCATCAATCCCATCAGAAGTAATCATCAAAGACGGGAAAGGCTCAAACATCTTGCCTTCCCTTTCAGCCAACAGTTTTTTACTTCTCTTCTGCATGCTAACCAACACATTCAGCCAAGTATTCGCTCTCGACCTCTGTGTACCAGGCAACCCAAAATTCAGCACCGCCAAATCCTCTGTCTTCAAACTCAAAACATCCGCCGGCGCCGCCCCGTCGAGCAGCCAGATCAAACAAGCGCAGAGCCCACGCGTGATTTCCGAATCACTGTCGACCAAAAACCTCATCCTCCCTTCCTCGTCAATCCGCGTCTCCAGCCAGACCTGGGCGGTGCAGCCCATGACCCGGTTGAGAGCGACCCGGGACGCGTCGGGGAACGGAGGCAGCAGCGCGGCGTAACCCATCAGCCGCTTGACCCGGTCGGACGGTTCGGTGAGGGATCCGAATTCCGTTATCAGCTGCTGGAGCCTCGCCGGCACGAGCTCGGCCGCGGCGGCGGCCGAGGAGGGAAAAGAGACGGCGGAGCAGGCGAACGGGGAAGAGCTGGGACTGGGTTTGGAATCAGGGGAAAGAGATTGGACGCATTTGAGGGATTTATTAAGGAACGGCGGCTGAAACAGAGACGGAGGTTTGGAGAAGAAGAGCTTCCGCGAGTACCCATGATCGGAATTAGAGGGGAGAGTGGGGAAAATCGAAGCTTTCGTGGAGACAGAGAAAGCCATATCGAAATCTGGGAGGGCAAAGGCGGCGGCGCTGGCGGTGGCTGGCGGCTGAGCGGGTAACTACTCCGAACGGGGAATGGGTGGGAGCTTTAGGGTATAAAGAGGGGAAAAGGGGAGAGAGAAACCACCACGAAAGTAAAGGCGCCAAAATGTGTGTTTGTGAGTTGCGCGGACTGAGAAGAGAAGAATTGGCAGCTAAACTCTAGCAGGACCATGCAACTTTATTATTATTATTTCTCCTTTTTTCATCCAAAGAGAATATTTCTTTCTTTTTTATATAAAAACAAAGACTACACTAAAATAAAATTAAAAAGTCGTCAAAAAATAATAAAATTAGAAAACTTTTCAGCGCTCTGAAAGGCTCAACAAATCTGAATGCTTATGGGGAATAATGTTATCATGCCATGTCCACTTGCCAGTCGCCGATTCCCAATTTTCCAATTTCCAATCACATTCCCGGAATCCCTTTTTCTTTGGTAGAGACAGGATTGAAGTTTGGATTCCAAGCAATCTTCTTCATTTGTCCTGGGTTTTTGTCAACGATTTCTTTATCGTGAGGACAAGAGTTTTATGATCTTGTTTTTAACTCGTCAAACAAGATCATAAAACTAGTTCTTTTGGCTACAAATCAACAAACTAACACATGCATCAGCCTTGCAACTCGCAAGGGTTCGTCATTCTCAGTTTCTCACTGCATATGATAGACGTAGGCTATCCGCGCCAAGGAAACAGAAATGTTGAATTCGCCAGCCTTTCATTGTCGCCGGTTACTGATTGCGGTACACAGACGTCAAGTTCCTTTCAACACCCTCACCAAATGGCAAACAATGGAGGTGCTACATTAGCTACACCAAGTGCAGAACATGTGACAACGGAGAAACAGAGAGCAACAAGTTGCTTGCACTTATCAGGTTCATACATCACAATGGCAGGAGATGACTTCAATATCTTTCACAGCTTGACAAATGAATTGGGTATTAGAGGTTCGTGTAAGCACACCAGGGGAGGGTTACATATTTACATGAGTTTAACAGAGGCAGCAGCGCCCCTGCTGGTTAGTCGGGTAACTCATAAGGGTATAGCCCCTAACAACAAACAGCCTGAACTCGTTTCAGGCAGGGCACTCGCAGCTTCTTATCTCCGAGGATGCTCCCTCGTGAAGAAGGAATGCCTTAAAGCTGCACGAGCGGTCAACCTCTCCGAAGGATCGTACCTAAGGAGACCTTGCAACAGGTGGATAAGATCCCCTGCAGAATGATCGACGTGCTGCATTATCAAATTCGGCAGTCTAGGTAGCTTCATTACTGCCCTAACACTCTCCCTAGATGCAGCCCCTTCTGGCCAGTCCAGTTTTCCCCTTCTGACATACTTATCGGCATGTCGACTGCAGCGCGTAAACAAACAAATAGTTAGCACCCAAAAAAAAAACAAAAACTCTGGTGGGCAACTAATTAACCATGACGGTGGTGTTGCATACTCTGCTCTTTTCAACATGTGCAGGGGTAGAGGACCAAGCACCCTCTCCATCATTGCAAGGTGCTCCAAATTCTCATGAGTCTGAAACAATGCTTCACCCTGCACATCAAGAGGCAAGCAAGTCAGTTACAGGCAAATGCATATAGGAGACCTAACTGTACAAAAGGATTCAGAGTTGAGGAACATACAGTGCACAACTCCACTAGAATACACCCAATGCTCCAAACATCACATGGATAGCTCCAACCAAGACCTGCAAGGATTTGGGAGTTGAGAATCATGAAAGGAAGAATGAAGTTGAACTCACAAGCAAAAAAAAAAAAAGAAAAACTAAATAGTAGGTACCAAGGATAACTTCTGGGGCACGATAATGTCGAGTTGACACAATGTAGGTCTGATCCGGACGGTCATATGTTGTGCTACCAAAATCAATGACCTTGATTGCGCTCGAGTTTGGGACCCTTTTAAAGTGGGAACTTTCCCTTGGGGAACGAGATGAACCCTGATACACATAAAACAAAGAAGTCAAGCATCTTGAAAGAGAATAAATAGTGCAAGTAGGTAGCGAGACATGATAAACGGACTTACCCTGTAGTCAGGTACTTTGCCATAGTCTGATGAAACTAAGAGAATGTTTTCAGGCTTCAAATCAGTATGAATAAGCCGCAAGTCATGCATAACTGCAATTTTAAGACACAGCAGGACATTAGCTAAAATAGGCACAAAACTGTGACAGCACCATGATGCAAATCAATTTAATTTTTCATGCTGTTGCTAAGAACGAAGGAAAATGGCAAAATCTAGGAATACCAAAACAGAAGAAAAATGAAATGCAATGCGGGGAAAAAAATTGCTCAAGTATCTTTTACACACATGCTACACAATCCAACAGTTGTCTGCCAATCTCACGGACAAGATCAATGGGAAAGGACCGATAATTGTTTTTGCGTAGGAAATCGTATAAACTTGGTCCAAGCTTCTCAAAGACCTGTCGACATCATTTGCATTCACCAAAACTCTTAACCCCAGAGTTATTCATAAATTGGGGAAATTAATCCATCGCACATCATCCATATACTTACAATACAGATATGATTACGATAGTCAAACCAGTTCCGTAATTGCACACAACTGCAAGGAATAAACATCTTTAACCAATGAAAAAAAAATTCATGAAATAGGCACAGAGCCTGGTTAGAAGAGCGGTAGATCACTCACCGGTTGCCACCCCTGTCATGTTTACCCAGTTGCTGCAGCACATCAATTTCTATCATAGCTGCCTCGCGATATTTCTTAATGCCGCGAACAATTTTCACAGCTACCATTTCTTTCCTTTCCCTGTCCCAGCATTCTAGGACCTGGCCAAAAGTACCTAAAAACAGGGAAAGCAAGGACAACAGTTTAGCTGAAATATACAATCTCAGTATCTCACGAAAGAACAGAGAAAAATACACCTAGGAAAGATGATCTACCTTCGCCCATTTTGCTATGGATCTTATCTGCAAGAACAAAATAAGAGAAAAAAGAAACCAACTCAGTACATAGACAAGAAACAAAGCATATCCTACTTAGACTATATAGTGAAATTCCAAACAGTGGACGAAATAAAAATCTATCCAAGTCCAGATTTCCCATGCTTCATAACCATTAAGAGGTACAGGTGGAGGAAAGTGTATTTACAGCGAGAAGTTAGATTATCTCCAATAGCAAACATGTAATGCCCATCCTTGTCATCTTCCCTCCATGGGGGAGAACCATTTCGAGCAACATCCTTATCAAACAGAGAACTATAATTGATGGTATAATCTGGGTTCGCTCCTGAAGGCGCAAAGCTTGTTACATCACCAATCTCTTGCCCACAATATATCCCTACCTGAGCCTACACACATCCACCCATTCATCCACACTCAACATCATCACAAAACACAAAACTTGTCTCAATACGTGCATAACCCTTGAACAATTATCACCCAAATTCAATTCGATTAGAAAATCCCAGAACAGCTAGATATAAATAACGCGGTATATAGGCTAATAAGAGAGAGAGAAAAAAAAAATCAAAATATCGATCTCGGAGCAGATCAATTTGAAAACTTCAGATCTGCCCATAGCAGAAGACAGGAAAAAGTTACCAAATTCAATACCAAGAGTTTGCAAGAACGCCATAGATATTCTCGAGTAAATCCAATACAACAGTCCAACCCGAAGATCTCTCAATCCAAAGCGTAGAATCAAAAGCCTATGGCCAGATCTAACAAAAAAAGGAACGCACAGGAAGGCTTAAGCTCGACAGAGAGGAAAAAAAAATTATACCTTTGCGATAAGAGGGACGTCCCAGCCTAGACGCGCCCTCTTTCGGGGCCTCCGATCGAGATGAGTGTGAGGAAACTCGATCACGCGCTCCATCTCCATGATCGCAAGCGCTGCAGGAGCAGATCGGGAAGCCGATGAAGGAACCGAGAGAAATTTTCTGGGGAGTTTCACGAGAAACAAACAGAAGAATAGGAGAGATAAGGATATGCTGTTCGGGTTCGGGTTCGGAGTGGTGCCCTACTACTATGCTCCACAGCACCAATGCTCTTATGTGTTCACCACCGTCCAATGTGGTATAGTGCATGCGAACCGTTAGATCTAGTTTAATTTTATCAGTAAAACAATTATCCTGAAACTGATTAGTTGTAGCTTCCAAAAGAATGGAATTACTGGGGGGAAAAAACAGAATATTAAATAAAACGGAAAAGAAAAAAAAGTAAGAATGACAAAAATAATCATACTCATGGATATTTGTGAGATTATTATTCAATTGAGTGGAGTAAAATCTGCGGAAGATTTTTTAATGTGTATGGGTAAAAGTCGAATTAGAAAATTGACGAGTATGATTTTTATACTATGCAAATTGAACTTGTCGGATTATACACATGCATATGTTTTTTTCTTAATAATCTTAGTAGTTAAAACAATCCATAAAAAAGAACCGGTTTGATAATATGAAATATAACTCATTACTAGTAGTCAGCGTCTTTGTCGGGTACGACCTTGCTTGGCATTATATTGCTATTTATCGACAGATGCACTTGCTTTAGTTAGTCACGCTTGAAAAAAAAAAGTGATCATGCATAACTTTCTTATCGGAGAACACATCTATTGCGTCATAACTTAGATGTGATGCACATAGAGAAGACTAAAGATACGTTGAAAACACATCTTGACTTGAAGAAAACGAAGCTCTTCAATAAACTATCACTAAAGTTACGGGTACGATTTGAAAAATGCTGGAGATTTGATCGATTTGAAGGCTCAAATGAAGAAGTTGCAAGAGATGTTTGAAAGTAGTAATAGACAAACATTAGGTACTTATAATTCTTTCTCTTAGAATACAACTTGCTTTTTTGTTGCTGCTACTTCTTGTTTGTCATGTAAGGAAGCAAATAACTAAGTGTACAACATATAATTGTTGTTGTTGTTTTGCATGGTCTTGCCCTTTCGATTGAGTTGTTGTTTTCTTTTTACTTGAAGAGTGTTGTTGCTTATGAAAATAGTTCGAGAACACACAATTCCTTTATTTTTACTGAGGTTTTTTTCCTGTGTTTGGAGAGTGCTCAGGCTTATGAAAGCCATTTAAATCACTAAATTCTTATCCTTATATTGAGATGCTTTGTTGTTGTTTGGAGAGTGATG